TCGTGCAGCTTAGTCCAGCATCTCTGCAATGAAGAAGGTATTTTTGCTCACTCTCCATGCACACCCAACATTAAAAAAAGAGCTTCATGGTGTTCTGCAGAGCATACAGACAAGCCTGAGATGATATACAGCATTGTAAGGTTTTATGGACGTTTGCCTAAGATGATCTATGTAATTCACTCTTAGATATTCAACCTTCCCAAAGTCATGCCAGTAAAATGTTTATGCTACATCATCATCTATTCTCTATTGTACCTCTACATGCAGACACACACATTATATATCTTCAATTACATTAAAATTATTTATACAATAAATCACAGTTGAAGCTATACCTTATTTGTTCAAACACCCAAGTTAAATTTACATATTAATGGTTGCATATTTGGCTTTAATAGATGCACTATTAGAAAATAAACATGAGAAATGAATAACCATTTTAGCATGGAGTCACCTAATCTTGATGAAAAATATCTGAAAATGCAGCAACCAGGGAATCTATTTAATTTTTATTTGAAAATAACGCTAGTCACCGACTAAGAAGATAAATATAAATTATATGGAGTAGTATACTAATGATGGATCAGACAGACCCACCCTGTGCAGTGAATGCCATAAGATCAAACTGGTTGAAATGGATGGTATATACTCTAGATACTCTCCTTCTCAAGTATGGAGTAAAGGATATGACTAGGATGGTTTAATTTGCTAAAGTTTCCCCTTACACTTGACAGTGCATTTTATTTTCAGCATCTTCTAAAGCTTCAGGACAAGCTCTGTGTCTCCCAGCAACAATCAGGCTTATGCACAGGAAAGATGCACAGGGATGATTACTGTCCCTGAAAACTGAAAAGTGCACAGTAAGGTAGAAAAGTTGGACTGTCTAATGGTGTGAACAAGAGGGCTCACATACACAGCAAACAGTGCAAACTGGGCTACTGCGGAAATCCTTTGTCATTAGAGCAGGAGCTTAATTCCTACAGCACACTGAGCAAAGGCAAGGCCCAGCCTTTGCTATCTTGCACAAGAGGAAGAGGAGCCTGCTTTGATTTCCTTCCCAGTACAATGAACCACTTCTTTCCACACAACTACATCTTTTTGATTATTTTGATCATCTCTGCTATCCTCGACTGTTCACTTTTCAAAGCAGAAAGAGTATCCTGGATTAGGACCACATACACCATTCTGGCTACAACTGTGCAGGAGATGAACAGTGTCAATTCAAGTTGTTTGTCAAGTCTCCTCACACCACTTCCAAAGCCTCAGGTCTCCCAGCAGTGCTGCTCCAGGAGCTTCTTCTCTTCTGTAGCCTTAAAATGATCCTGCTTAGAAAGTCTATTATTTTGAGTTTTGTAGCTACCAGGTAATTATAAAGGAATTTAATTTTGAGGGACTGTGCGTTCCCAGCAGACACTAGGAAGGAGCAGACCTTGGAGATGATGGAAGGGGGTGATAAAAAATAGGTGGTGCTAGGCTTATTGCAGATATTGCAGAATATTACAGATAATGCAGAAATCAAGAAGACAGTAACTCCTATCATAGGGAGTCTGTAGTTTTGCTAGAAATCTGATCCAGTTTCCTTCAGTACCACTGCCAGAACAGCCATAATCATGCTTCTGCTTGACCTCAGTGCAGGCCACAAGGCTCCTGAGCAATTGAAATAAATAACGATTTAAAACAACAGCAGCCAGAGACACTGGCAGCATCAAATGGAAGTGACTTTGTCAAGGGAGAACACACCAGGAGTCACTCGACATTATGTGTCGCTTGCTTTGGCAGCAAAATGATGGAGGCTGCAGGATCCATCCTGCTGCCAGAGACCTTTCTTCTTAATCAACACCTCTGGGCTCACCACACTACCACTGAACTGTGAGCGCCTTTCTTCTCTAAATGTCATTTCATTTTTGTACGTTTCCTTGAGACTTGTCAGCCCATGGACTTTTTTTTTTTTTTTTTTGGTAAGAGTGCTGGTTCAGCATAAATCAGAAAATGATTACATGGAACTGTGCTCAGGGCCCTGACAAACAGAGACATAACACAGCAGACTAGGTCGGAACCGAGCCATTTGTTTCATTCCATTGTGCCTTGCAGGCTCTTGGTCCTTCCTGCCTGCCCATCCTCAGTGTTTTGTTTCATGCCTGAGCAGAAGCCCTACACAGACAATTGAAAGAAAGTTACCAGACCCTGATCTCCACACTGCTGTGACTTGTGTCAAATTATAGCTGAAGTGATTTGCTAATCCAAATCCAGGCAATAATCTGATCTGTGGGGAGAAGCACTCTAACACTGCTGTGCTGAGTGGCCACAGTGGTACAAGCACTGTCAGCTTTTCCCAGCAGCTTTTTGACCTACTGAAGCCTGCACACATGTACTGAGCAACTGATGACAAAGGGAAAAGTCTGACACATTCAGGCTGTTAAAAGGCATAAAACATATACTCTAAGTCCCAAGAAAATGCTCCAATTAAATGCAATTTTTGAGCAAGAGTATATTTAGCCCAGCTAAAGGTTACTGCTATGCCATGTGGACTTCACGTATTTGAAGAACATTTTAAAGAAGAGAAAGAAAAATATTTATGTTGGTGGATCATATTCAGACTATAAGAAAGGATTTGGGGGAGTACCCAAAGGTTGACAGGTCACTCTCAGTTAATCACATAAAGGATGGACTTTTACCGGGACCTTCTGAGCCACAGGATTCAATTTCTGTCATGAAAGGCTCTCAAAACACTTGGTCTGTCTTTGTTCAGTTCAGTCAGGCTGAAAAGTACTGCATGGCCTTGCATGCAGAAAAACTGACACTTTTAAAATATCCATTGAGATTTCTTACAACACCAACACTAGAAGACAGGCTAAAAGTTTTCTTTCAAATGAATATGAATAAACCATGTGATTCATTAATTATGACTCTTTATCAAGCAGACAGGAACAAGAGGTCTGCTAACTTGGTTTTACAGCATACCTAAAAAATAACATAGAACAGGAAAAAAAAGTTGAGACCTTATGGTAGTACCAAGAGTATTTAATAGTATTTTCACCTGAAGGGTCATTAACCCTTTAAAAAGCAATGCCAATATGTACTAGAAGTATGTACAGCACAGAGCTTGAAAAAGTTCAATGTAGGGTACCAGACGAAAGCTGGATATAGACTTGCTTTCAAACAAAAACCTAAGCTTGCCTCCATTCTCTTATATTCAGATACAGAACTGAAAAATGTTAACTAAGAGTTGGGGAGAATTACCAAAACTGAAGATGAAACATCCAAGTCGAGTAGGTGTATGTAGGTGTTAAAAGGGAAAGGGGCAAAAAATTAAAAAAAAAAAAAAAAAAAAAAAAAAAAAAAGAGAAATTATAACTTAAAAGTCCTTAAGCAGTACTTGATATCAGAGAAAAAAAATCTGTTTCTAAAACATTGGCCAGACCCTCTCTTTAGAAGAGAAAAAGCACCAAAACTAAGGCTACCAAACAGCACCAATTTAAAAAAAAATCAGATTCAGCTTCCTAGAAATGATGTACTTTCCTCTGAGCTTATCCACAGTAACCTGTGCCTTTGCCATCTTCAGATTGCTTCACTACACCTGACTTACCTAAAACTGAACATGAAAACTACATGCAGCTTAGAGAAATCAGACACCCAGCCCTCTCTTTGACTCAGCTTCAATGTCAGTCCATAACATTCCAACAATCTGGGCCTTTCCCCAAAAGCCCAATCTACTGCTAATATCAGTTGGAAGCTTGGATCCAGAGTTTTAAAGGAAGCAAGAAATCTCATCTTAGCTCCATCAGACTGCAATCTCTAAAGAAAGCCACAAAGGAGCAAAGCCAATCAGAAAGGGACTGAAACAGAGACTTGAGCATTTTTTATTGAAAAGAGCAATAAACATTCTGTAGGAGATCAAGGAAATGTACAAGCAGACACACCTTCAGAACAGTGGCAAAAACCTGTCTTTCTGTAAGATAACTAACTACAAACTGAATGCACTAATGCCAGTTATACCAAATAAACAAATAAAAAAAACCCAATCAACCAAAAAAATTCCTTAAACCTCTACCCATACCAAAAAAGCCAAAATTATCCCCCAAACTTATCTCAAACAGTATTTTGATGCTACCAAACAAGATATGCAAGAATTGCCATGAATTAAAAACAAATGGATGGATGCTGCTACTGGTATGCAGACTACTCAAATGTCACCTATCACTGTTGATTTCCCCTTTAATAATTACATTTCTTAAAAAAACATAATCAAGTTGTACACAAAGAAACCAAACTGAATGGTAAAAGGCAGCTGCAAAATGTATTTTACTGCTTTAGTATTTCAGACTTCATCAAGCATCTATGTCAGCTCAACTCCCCCAAAGACCAGCTGACACCACCTGACTTGAACCTCCCCATGCTCCTGCTGAAGAGTATGATGGAAGCAGCATTTCCACTCAATCCAGTCATGCCTGGTTGCTTCGTAAGTACAAAAAGCAAGACAGGGCTGCTAACCACAAAAATCACCACAGCAGAGGAGTTACAAAACAAATACAAGCTGAGCCTGCACCCTCCCTTCCGACGCCAGGAGAAAAGAGCTGACAGTGAAGATGGCAAGGCACATCCACAAAGAACTTGCCAAAGGTCAACACTGCAATTCACACTGACATCAATGATTGTAGAGTGAAAACAATGGGAAAATTTGAGGATGTGTTATGATCTTGGAATGCTTTGTGTCAGACACATATTTAAAATGAAACAGAATCACAGACACAACTCAAGGACATAACCAAGCCATAACATAACCAAACCACAGCCCTAAATCAATCCCTATTCTGGATATATTTAAAAGTTGAATATGTGCTTAAGCACTTCTCAGAACAGGGATGTTGACTGGGTATCAGCAGGAGTGTACAACATTTGTCTGGTTGAAAAAAATGTTATTATCAAAAGCTGGATTTTACTGCAGTACATGAGAGAATCATGATAGATGTAAAGCTATTATCATATATATTTTATTTTACCTGGAACTTTACTTTTTGCCAAATGTGAGGCCCAATAAATTGTTTCAAGAAGCGTTCATCTTCACTCCAGAACAGTCGGATGTCAGGGATATCGTACAGGATCATGGCCAGCCTCTCCAAACCCAAGCCAAATGCCCAGCCAATTTTATCCTGAGCACCAGCTGCAATACACAAGATAAAAATTCAAGAGTTTAAGTTCACAACATGGAAAATTACTGATAAAATGTTCACCTATTTATTAAGAAGGAATAAAGAAAAAGGTGAAATAGCAAACCAGAAAATCTTACAAGTGCTAAATGAATGATCTAAAGGCTACAGGACAGCTTCTACTTAAATCAAAAACTGCAGCAAGACTGAGCACATCACTGAGTGCAGAAACCAAAAAGGGCAATAAAACAAAGCCACAGCCTGGACAATTTTGTCCAAAGTTTCAGAAAGGCTTGAGAAATGGTGCATAATGCTATACATCACTACCCTTCACTCTGCTTAGAGCTGAGCATTTCCTCACTTGACTCTGCTGTGTTTCATAAGACACATAAACATGAATTCCCTGTTCAGAGTATTCTCCTTGGTCTGACAGACCAAGTCAAGCCTACAGAGCATTAACATCATTACCAACATTTCAAAATACCATAATTGCCTCTTTTGAGGCTTCTGGAAGAAACAGAGCAATGGGATGTGAGGCACCGTTGCATTAGCATCACACCTCCAACGAGGGAAATCCTGAGCTGCTGTTCCTGGGAAAAGCCACTGCTCTCACATTAACAAGTCTCTTTTATGCAGCACTAAATATAAAAGGACAAGAATATTTAATAAAGAAAAGCTGCACAGATATTAATGATGCAACATTTCTGTCAGGAAAGTAAATATTCATACCTTCCTTCATTTATAGGGCAGGAGCACTGACTCATGCAAACAGGGATCTTTTCAACACAAAAAACTACGTCTATGTTTAGCCATCAGCCTACTGATTTTGAAATAAGCTGAGAGCCCAGAAGCCCTGGCAAAGGCTCAGAGCTTTTAAAAACTTAAACAAATGCCTAAACAAACACACATGCTGAAAGGATGTGTGCATGCGTGACAGACTTGACTTCACACCATCAACACTTGCAGTGTGCTCCTGAGTCACACAACATCACTGCACATCTCACAGCTAGGCACCAGGGCCAGCAGCCCCTCCAGAATCAGTTTAAACTAATTTTTTGGAAACTTCGAACTCAGTAACTTTCCCATCTTCATGCAGGAGGTTGGAAGCACAAGTCTTCTTTCTGACCCTTGCCTCTGCTATCAGAAAGGAAACAGCTCCCATTGTTTAGGCACTGATGACAGACATCCTGAGTTCCCCTGTTGTGTTCATTTTTGAGACTAAACAGGCCTGAGTTCTGTTCAAATAGAGGGAGGCATACCAAGCTTGGGAAAAGAGACACACTCGCAACTTCAATTCCATTAATTCACTTGAACATGCCTATTTTACTGGAATAACAGCAGAGCCCCTCTGTGTCTCACCTCAGCAGTATTGTGCTGCCACAGGAGTTACATCAACTTGTAAGGGTATTTCATAGAGGAGTCAGGATATTCTGCCTGACCCTTCTCATGTGCTCAAAGGCAAGATTTTGCACTTTCTGACATTTGAAAGCAGACAGCTCATCAACTCAGCTGTGGAAGTCCTAGGAAATAGAGGACTGGGTGCAAACTCAAAAGGTACCTCATGGCAGAGGCTGCTGAAAACAGTGCTTGGACCAACCAGCAGACTGAGCTAATCTGACTCTGGAAACCCGCAATCCACACTATATTATGTGAAGAACTGCACAACTTGCTTCTGCTGATTTTTAGAGAAAGCAGAGCGACTACAAAGAACATATAGAAACTTGTGTTTAGAAGGGATTTTGAACTTTGACTTTGAGTGTAAACCATAAACTGTTTCTCTTCCATTCTGAGTATACTACTTCTCTCCATACAACAGTATATTAAAGTAATTACATTTGTATGGCTGTGAAAAACGGAATGTAATTCATTGCAATGGTGTTGCTTTTTCAAATTTGCAGCTTGCCTTTCCTAGATCAGCAACTCCTGCCTCAGTGCCAGAGCTCCTATTCATTCCACAAGTACCAGATTTTCACATACATATGGGCATTTCTGTAGACCAACCCTCTCCTCCAGATGTAAAGTAAAGCACCAGGAGCAATATCCATGAGGGTTCTGACTGGTCACTGCTTACTCTCAACTGAGGCATTAAACCTGAAAGCTAAAGATGCCAGATTAAGCATTAGCAGTTCACAGATGCTCAGTAAAGTACACAGGATGGGGGTGATGGTCCTCCTTCCCCACACTAGTGATGATCACTGGTAGAGCAGACAGGGAAAAAAAGAGATGACAGAAGAACAGGTGTATATTCTGATTAGCAGAGCTTTAAATTTAGAACTTTTTTTTTTTATTATATTGATGTGAGAATGGTTTTCACTGTAACACTTTTTTCCTCAGTGACTTGCTATGAACTTGAACTCTGCAATGAATGTCTTGATTTTATACCAGCAACTTCTTTTCTGTTCTGGTTTTCTTGATTGGTTTATTGGGCTTTTTTTTAGAAGGACTGGGACACATCACAGGTTTTTTACTCATAGCAGACAAAGAAATTCTGCTATCTGCCTAGCAGCTCAGAGCATTGTCAACTGAGCTACGATTAAACACCTATTCACCAAACTGAACTTGTCTTTTGGATGATCTTTGTACAATTATCAGCCTTCAAACTTCTCAAATGTCCCCAGTGGAAGCTGTATAAGTGAAGAATTACCTCTACTCAGACAAAATAAATGAAAGAAGAAGAAAAATTCAGATTATTAAAATTCCTCCTCAAATCAGCACTAGTAAATCTCTGCACTCTGCATCTTCAGTTATTTTGTCTCTGACCTCTTCTCCAACTTTCTATTTGTAAAGCTCCAAGTCAATACAGCATTCACTTAAGTCATTTGAAAAACTGCCTTGGTGCATTCAACAAGATTAATGCATGCTTCTAAACATATTTCTGACTGGAAATTACCAGGTGACTTAGAAATCAAATGAGCCAGTAATCATCCTGTAGAGTGAGGGAGCAACCTATAGCTTTCCCAACACAAATACACGTTTAAATGCACCAAATTTCAGCAAGTATTATGCAAAGAAGTCAAAAGAATTTGAGTCAGCAAGACAGGAAAAGTGAACACATAACAGTGTTAAATATGGCAAAAAGCAAGTTGAGGTTCTGATGAGGAGACCTGGCCAAAGCAGCAGATTCCAGGGACCTGGTGGGGCAATCATAGCATCACTGCTTGAAGCAACACAGCCCAACAGATAAAGCTTTCCTGACACATGAGCTTTCCCCAACTGGCCATCAAAGGTTTTTATGCTGCCAGGCTCCTGCTGCCTCACTTGAAAACTCTGACTCCCCACCAGAAGAAAATTGCTTGAAGCCTTGCTTGTCAGGTAGCCAAAGATGGGGGAGGAAAGGATAAAACAGTTTGAGTGGCTTCCCAAACTGGGAGCTAGGACAGCCCAAATCTGATGTCAGAAGGTTGCATCATTGCAGTTCTGTCTTACAGAGAAACTCAAGAATCCTTATCTTCCTTGGTAAGTCATATCTATTTATCCTGGACTACTTTAGCTTCAAGCCCAGGTGAATCAGTTTACATGTAACATAGACCAAGCAAGTCATTCTCCAAAAAGCAATGTTAAACGAAAGTTAAATTTGCTCAGTCAGGATGGGAATCTTCCCAATTATTCACCAAGGCATAAATAATGACCTGCCAGAATTAATGGATTATATTGCCCTGAATCCTCAGAAAAAAACACAGACAGAAACACTCGCCCTCTCAAGGAGTGTGAGGCAAGACATTCTGCTCTGTACAACAATTTTAAGACATAATTTGCAACATAATTTTACTAACAGGTTGATAAAACCTTTTTGGTTTATATTCCAGTCATACTTATTTTTATATTGGCTTTTATTTAAGAATTTTTGCTACTTCTGTAAAACTGCCAATAAAGAAATCTTTCTTTCAATAGACCCTAAATTGGGTCTTCAAGTTGTCATACTCAGCAGTTACTGAGAAGTGAAAGAAATTAAATTTTGATCTTGGATCGAGGCAAAATAATGAATACACAATAGCCTGCATAGAAGGTGATCTTCACAAAATGCACAAAAATTAATATATCCAAAGTATGAGCAGCTGAAATCTGGGATGAGTTCCAGAAGCAAAGACCTGAATTTGATCTCCTTCTTTCAGTCCAAACTATGACTGTTAATGGAGCCTGTTCTAGAACTAAAATGGTGGGAAGAGGGGTGAAGAGATTCTCAAGGACACATGGATTACACATCATGTTTTACAAAACAAATCAGCTTTCAACTGTACAGAAAGAAGTTACAGACATAATGAACACGCGACTTGACACAAAACACCACAAATTCTGGAAACAAATGCCAAGGCCCACATTTGAGTGATTATGTGGTTAATGGACAGCTTACCAATCAAGCTTTGAAAAACAGGTTCTGCAAAACAAATATTTACTTATTTCTAGAGACTAGGAATGGATAGTCTACATAACTGCCACAGTAATGAGGCAAACATGTTTACTTGTGTTAAAAGTAAGTAATTTTAAATTATTTCCTTATTATTTCCATAAATTATTTCAGCTAAAACTCACATATGTTGGGAGTAAAAATTTTACATGGAAAAAAAGTAATACTAAGGTATCAGTCTAATAGCGAAGAGCTTTTGAAACTGCAAGGTCATGTGGCTGGGATGTAAAGCAACTGAGGCCAAACAGCTTATCCAAATTTTCTCTGAACTCCTCTCCAGTGAAAGCAAAAATCAAAACCATCACAGTGTTCTCTTGTAACTCAGTTAAATTGATGCATTCAGACTTCTGTGTGCAACTCAGTTTAAATTGCACCCTAAAATGAGGACCTGGCATTCAGACTATGCATGCTAAGAAAGCCACTCAAGAACTCAATAAAAGAAGTAAACATTCAATTATGCCCATTTTATGTAAAGAGAACTTATCTTTCTAAGTCTCATGTGTGGAATAATTTTCTAACAATAATAGTCACTTTGAGACCAAGGCTATGTCTCCTGGGTCAGACTGATCTGTTCTGTTCCCTTAATTTGAAAACTAAGCAAAAGAACTG